TGGGCCTTCACCCAAATCGGCAAAGGAGCTAGGTAAAGCTTCAATTTTGTACGCCATCTATAAGTTAAATTAAAAAATATAAAACAATGTATTATATTAAGTCAAGTTTTCTATGATATTACACTAAAAATATTTTGTAATTTGTTGAAAAAGTACAACAAAAATCTGAACAATAACTTAGCTAAACTTCACAAGTAAAGTTAACCATAAATGGTCAAACGCAGGAGGTTCTCGCTGCATCAAGTTCTACGTCCCAAAATACTTTGAGGTAAAAAGCAAATATCTACACAATCTGCACAGAACGGATCTTAAAACAATAATTACGTTGATAATTGGCCACAGATTTGTAAGCAATCCTAGTGTGCGGTTAAAACTATTAGACCCCAACGAATGTACACTATTTATGGAAAACAAGGAAACAGTCTTAAATACTTATACAGTATGTCCGGCTCTTATACAATACAGGAACCGAATTTTCCACAAAAAATTGATCTACGAATCAGAACAATCAAATATCAATCTAAGAAAAATTAATACTTTAATAATTTTTTGTCGATTATTATATATTGTGGATTTATGCATTTGTTATATATTGTGTGGATAACTTTGAATCAAGAAGTATAAATAAGGAAAATAAAAATTATTTGTTTGAGAGCAAATTAATTAAAAAATAAACTATTTTATTGTCAGAAAATTCCAATACTAAGCGTCTAGATCGTAAGATCGTAACTTCATATTGTGATAACCAAAGACCGTAATGGTACGATTTTTGTTATAAATTTCCTCAAAAAGTCGGCAACAGACCTTTTTGAAAAAGCAATATAAATGCTGAGGTGAATATAAAATTCAATAGTGTCCATATATAGGCTTACGTCAATTTTTTAGAAATATTCGTAGTACTAGTCAATTATAATACAGAAAATCTAACCATCTAATAGTTGATAGTTTTCCGGGATTTACTATAAGGTCTGCAAGTTTCAACATTATGTCAAAGAATCACCACATTATGTCAACGAATCACCAATACCGAATATGAATATATAATAATAATAATAATAAGTCCCAAAATCATATAAATTTCAATTGAGCTGATTAAGAATATAGGTATATATTTTATATAATTTTTTGGGTCTACGATGATGTATTTTTCATATTGTTACGAACAATTTAGCATACTTAATACGTGTAAATGCATATTTGTGGTATGAAAATAATGTTATACAAAGAAAAATTAATTTAATATACAATTAACAATCTTGTAACACATTATATATTATAAATAATTTATTTAAATATAGAAAACGTACGTCAAACAAGTTTTGTGTTCAATAGAATTCTGAACTTAGTTTTGTTACTTTAATTAACTTGTATTTCTTTAATTAACTAGAAAAGTATTCTATATTTAAAAAAAGTGCTTCGTTTTTTTATAAATTAATTAAAAATGAACAAATGGGAATATTGCAATGCAGTTAAATTAATTAGCAAAGATGAAATTATTAGAATTAGTTAATACTATATACAGATAAATTGCGCTTAGAGGGAAGTGCATTTTCATAAAATAAATACCAAATATAATTATGTGCATTATATCACATAAAATTGTAAAACAATATTAGAATGTGAACTAGTTAATTACTTTTTCTAGTTACATCAAACTTTATAACTTACTTAATGTTTGAAATTAACAATAAAATTAAAAATAATAATTTTATTTATAAAACCATCATAGTAATTATACATTATATAGAATATATTAGTTCCGTAAAAAACCATTTATTTGGACGAAACTAAAACTCTCCACAACTTGAAAACGAATATATATTAAGTTTTACCCGAGCTATTGCCAACTATGTGCCAAAAAAATTAACTAAAACTACATCAAAGGTATAAAGTAAAAATCCGTGAAGTATATTTGAGTATTGTATTTCATACCTAATGACAAAACCCAACACTGATTTTTTAAAACCTCGACTCTATCTAAATAAAGTCATAACCGAGTTATGTATCAATATGTCATCAAAAATTATGATCAAGCTGTTGTCAGCTATGTGCCAACAACTCATCGCAAATAACCTCAAAAAGTTCCAATAAAGATCTATGGAGAATATTTAAATAATTTGGCTTTTTACACCTAATGACAATATATTATATATTGTGGGACGTTGAAATAGTGCACCGCCCAGCCAATGGCCCCCTTGAAGTGAAGGATTAGCCGAAGTAGACCATGAAACGATTTGAGTCCTTTTTCGTCCTTCGCTTCTCAGATGTCGTTATTGAGTTAAAGCGAGAGTGGCCTCCATTCGCATAACTACATCTCTTGTTATTGCAAGCTGCTCATTTGGCTTGTGGTTGCCTGCCAAATCATCACCAACCCAATGGTGTCCCAGACTGTCATCCTCCTGTTTACCACTGTTGGACATTGGCACAATATATGCACCGCTGTCGCCTTTTCTTCTAGATATAGTCTGCAAGTGTCTTCCTCAACAAGAGTTATCTTTTTGAGGTGATACTTGAAGTTTCCATGTCCAACACACAGTAATCAATGACAAACCTAATGACAAAGTCGAAAGAATGTACTGAAATACAAATTCCAGTAAAATTGCAACTCCAAGTTTGTTTTAATTAGATTTAGTTTTAAAACCATAAAATGAATAACCATGCACTACATTATTCTTAAATGTATAATAAATTTATTGTTATATTGTTCGTCGACATAAAAAATTATTTAATATAACAAATAAGATTTATCGATTGTCAGACTTAAACTGTTGTAAGTAAAACATTTTTAATTAGAAATAAACGTAAATATATGTAATATAATTTATTTGACAACTTCATTAGCAATAATTTCTAGGAAAAAAATTATTATTTCAGTTCTTAGAGTAAAATAGTACTGGTGATATATAAGTACTGATGAAGTTGACAACTAAACAATGAAATATTTACTATTATTTCTAATATAAAGTATTTTATTGGCATTTCAAGCCTGACAGTCCATAAATCTAAATTGGAGAATAGTCTGGAGAATAGTCATATTGAATTGACTTTCTATAATAAAAATATTATTTAATATTTTCGAGACTAGTAATATATCAAATATATATTATTTATTATTATTTATTTTTTAATTTATTATTTTTCATCTCTTTTTCTGTAAATTTAATTTAATTTTAAATTGGTTCTAAATAAAAACAAACCACATTATCCATGCATTTGTTACTACAATTTGAACTTGAGATTACGTTTATGATTTTTATATCAAATGTTCCGCTTGAAGATATCCAAAGTTAGTGAAACTCAATTAATAAAATTAGTATTTATTTGCATATTACAATATTCATAGATTTTTTTGCTGGTATTATTTGCTGGTATGCCATGATGATGTACTTAGTGAGAGATTTTTATCGATTATATACATATATTACCTATCCTCTTTATTACTATTTTCGGCCGTGTGCTAGTTGGAGTAAATTGAGGTAAAGTGAATTGAAGTTTCCTAGGATTTTTTTTCCACTGCACTTATGTAGGTAAATATTTAGTTATTTATTTAAAGCGCTTATTTATTATTTTTGGCGAAAAGTTTTCAAATTTATTTATTTATTTATTTATTAAGCATCTTATAAAATTTTCACAATGGTAACATCTAGTTTACCTAATTTTTATATAATTTACCTTACTCGAAATTCCGGTAAATAACAACATTCGCTGCCATACCGACATAATTTACTATTTCCCTCAACTTACCATCAATTTACTCGAACTCGCACACGACCTTAAATAGCGTCCTCGAAAGACTTGATAGGCAATAGACTGAAATACATTATTCTGCTAACCTCATTAAAACTGATTAAATTTAAATTATAGTAAATTGTAACAATAATGTTATTGTTGAGCTGTGGGGCGAGGGCACATTTTATAATGCGAGAGACAAAAAAGGAGTTGAAGATTTTCATTACTGTAATTGCATTGCTAACTTCATATAATTTTAATCTACAAATACTTTGGACGATTTAGTTTTTATATGAGTAATAATTTCTTACTTTATTGCTTCACTTGCACTGTCAATATCATACTTAAATGATCTGTTTAGGTACTGTTTAGATAATATTTCCCTTTATCGTCCCGCCTTCACTATCACAATATCTTTCACTTATCTGGTAAATATTTTCTGGTAAATATGAATTCAACTTAGATGCATAAAGTAGAATATACAGGTTAAAAAGAAATAATCAAAGTTATAATAACTATATAATGTTATAGCTATAAATAAAGTTTTATGATATCTTAGATAATGCGGCCAATTACTATCTACATTTGCGCGAAATTGTATTGAAGTCTGCATGCTAATGTGATTGTAAATAATATTGCTCACAAATGAACAAAGATTAAGATACTTCGGTAGTAAATAGTTGAAAGCTGCAAAGAGCTTTGGCAACCACAGCAAGTAATAAACATTGGCACAATATTGAACTTTTAGTCTTACCACTTCAGTTTTAGAGTTATGTCATAGCTAAGTAGACCTGTTCAAAATGTTTCCCTGGTTTTAAATATTGGCAAGACTGATGACATCTATGGCAAATTTTATAATAAATATATACCTATATTTATTAAAAATAATAAATAGTTTTATAATCGATATTTAGCCAAACCATTAATATAAATTTAAAATTGATCTGTAATTATTATTATGTTATGAATGAAATCAAGCTGTGGTCAATATTAATTTATGTACTAGAATTAATGTGCTGAAATTTTTAATTAATAATAAGTTATATTTTAAAAAAATATATATTGTTAACGACTTTTATATCCATTTTTAATAACCAAAAACACATTTAACTCTCGTTTAGTACAGTACATACATACTTTACTTTGGTTGGAT